ACCCTTTGACCTTTTCTCTGGCCAGTAAGTGAACAATGCCAATTGTTTTTCTGTATTATATACTGTTTACAAGCCCAAGTGGCATGAAATAATTTAGCTCATGGAGCTGATGACCTTTATTATGCTGCCTCCTATTTGCTGAACAGAAATCAGAGCAAAAAGCTGCCTTGAAGCCACAGGGTTGCTTTAAGCATTTCTCACTTTACAGCCTAATTGGGTGTCATAACATAAATCAATTATTTCTCCTGTTTTAAGCAACAATGCCACCTATTCTTAACTGCTAGATTTCCAGCTTCCCTTGTATCAGGCCAGGCCTTGTTCTTCAGGTTTTACAGCTGTATAGTAAACACCATGATGAAAAAAAGCTTAGCGAGCATCACAGAATTAGGGCCAAACTGGAAACACTAGAAAAAAGGTTATGCTATTTTGAACTTCTCTTGACCTTTGATGACCCTTGTCCCTGCTTATGCTAATCGAATGGATATAAGGAGGCTACTCATAGAAATGAACTTAGCCTGAACCTGTGACATAGCATTGGACTTTGAAGATGTCAGCTCTGAGAGTGTCTTAGTAACACTACATAAGGCCATCATCTTACTAAATGTGGAGAGGCTCTGCTAATTAGCACACTGAACTCCAAGCAGATGTTGGGCATTTCTACATGAGCAAGCAAAACAGTATGGGAGTTCAGCACGTTACAGTGCCCCTCGCACTACTGCAGACAAACTGCTGCCCAGAATGTGGAGAATTTACAAGGCTCATGCCTACATCTGTATTAAGCCTCTGTGGCTTGGCAAAGACTCCCCACACACCAGGAAGCATCACAGAAATCCTAAGGATTGATAGCATCAGTAAGGCTGTTAAGATGCCAATCCTTCTGGAATAGAGCACGTAAACAAGTGTTTCACAGAAACATTCCAGCCTTCTACAGTGCTCAAGTGGAAATATGCAACAGCGCGGCAGCACAATACCACCTCAGGAGTTGAAGCATCAGAATGCTCAAATAAAGGTTGATAAGATTCCGGAACCCCCCTCCGAAATACAGCTCATTATTCATAGATTAACTAATCCAACATGGAGAAACCTACCCCCCCCTCCACACACACACCCATCCCCCATGGTGGGATATAGCCAGTCTTGCCTGCAGACTATAAAAAGCCAAGTGCTAATTTGGATTCATTTTTCACTCCGTGATAAGCTTTTTGCATTACCTTCCACTAATATGCGAGCTCTCTCAGCCCCCCTTACTTTGCATTTCTGAAAGTAACAGAAAGGAAACGCATGCATCCCAGCTAGACACACCCATCACAGGGGCAGAAGTACATACAGTAAACTTCCGATAATCCGACACCTTTAGGACCCAGGGGGTGCCGGATTATCAGCTATGCCGGGCTATTGAAAGGGGGGGGCTATGAGGGCGGTGGGGTGGGGGGATGCCACCCCAGGCCCCTCATAGCCCCCCCTTCCGATAGTCCGACTCTGCCCCAGGCATCCCCGATTCAGCCGCTGCTGGTCAGTTTCAGCAGTGGCTGAATCGGGGACGCCTGGGGCAGAGCAGCTGGGGTGCTGCCGGGTTGGTCCCACAGTGCTGAGGGGCAGCGCTATGGGACCAACCCAGCGGCTCTGCCCCCAGCTTCCCCAATTCAGCTGCTGATCACTTTCAGCAGCAGCTGAATCGGGGAAGCTGGGCGCAGAGCAGCTCCAATTGTCTGGCAGCCGGAGCACTTCCGGGTTCCTGATGGTGCTGGACCATCAGGAGTGCCGGAGCATTGGATGCCGGACCAATGGAGTTTTACTGTATCTACATTTGTTCTTGACATGATGTATTGCACTGGAATGCGAAGGGGAGAAAAGCTGTAGTGCTAAGTCAGAAGCGTGTAATGCTGCACTGAGAACATTCGGCGTCCTTCACACTTTTGACATTCTGAACACTTGGCTGCCTAAGTGGGAGTAGTTGGGAAGTGAGCTCTTCTGAAAGCCTGGCCCACGGGTGCAAGTGCTCTGTGTTAGGATTCAGTCGTCACTGGATATAGCAACGCAGAGTTGCTATGGGTGGAGTTCAACAGTAGTGCTGTATCTGAGTGCCCTGTGCTTTCGGAGTTGTGTACTACAGAATGTGCCGTTTTCTAGAATCAAAGCTTTCATTTAAAAAAAAAAAATTCAACCACTAGCCATTATGGCTGCCATAAGAACTTTCAACTGTGTCCTTCCCATGGTAAATCAATGCAAATACAGTCATTTATTACCACAGGAAATGTGAAATAGTCACACGGAGATGTGCACTGTGCATTCAGCTATATGGAAAAAGATCTCTGAAACCTCATCATGATAATTCAAATCTAAACCGTTAAGTTTTTTATTGCTGATCATTTTAGCATAGATACCCACTAACTGTCTTTATCTGTAAACTGCAGGCAATACTACTAATCTTCCTCAGAGGTAATTAAATGCTGCTGCAGATGGCAGGTAATACACAGAAATGTAAAGCACTTATCCAGATTTCTCAGAAGTATTTGTGGCCCATTAAGTGTCTACTACTATTATAGTATCTTAATAGTAAGTCTTCCCCGATGACTTCCTGTAGAAGTCAGTTACTTAAATATTTCATGGCAAGGAAATGATGCAACAGTAAGATTGTTATGTCTATTGATCATGCACATGTGGACTTAAATATAGTGAAGTGATACCTAACAGGAAATAGAGAATTAGGATTCTGTCTCTCCATGCATTCACAGAATTTAAGGGAGAAGGACAATTAGGTCTGATTTCTACCTCTTGTAAAACACAGGCCATTAAATTTCACTCAGTTACTGCTGTATTGAGCCCAATAACTTGTGTTTGGTTACAGTGTATCATCTCCCTGTAAGGCATCCAGTCTTGATATGAAGACATCAAGAAATGGAGAAGCCACAACTTCCCTTGGAAGTCTGTTTCAATGTGTAGCGCCCCCTCTCCACCTGGTTACCTTCTTTTAGAGCCAATCTCCTTTCAGGTTCGGATGGATAGGTCTGGGTTCTTCTGGATCCCGCCACCTACTCAATTTTATTCTTTCTGATTGATGTACTTGGCGGTGCCTCCACCCCCCTCACTCCTTCCTAGCAGGGTTGCCAGGGCAGCTTGGGAGGAAAATTCTAGCCCAGGATAATCCCCACGTATTCGCCAGATAGTTGGAGACTCCCAGAAAATAACACAAACACATACACTATAATAAACACAATTATATTAAACAGGAGACAATTATAACAGAACAGGGTAAAACATTATTTTTAGGGTCACCGGTGCCCTGCAACTGAAGTTAGTGTCCCGTTGGTACACGTACTTTGTTGGGGCCCTTGATGACTGCTGACCACACAATCCTTCTCTGCAGTGGTTTAGCAGTGGGGCTGACTAGGTCCAGTACAGCCCAAAGGACTCACAAATGGGAGAAGGCAGCAAATCCCTCCACAGTTTAATAGGCTGCAGGTAATAAAATCCCCAAACAAATTCCCTGACTTACTAACTAAAAATTGGTGCACTCACACACTCCATGAATGAGCCTCAGGTTGAGAGATGACTCAGTCTCTGCAAAGGGGCTGCTCTCTTCTCACAGGGGTCCTCTTCAAGCAGGAACCAGGCTGCTTCGGTCCCAGAATTTCCCCTCACTGTGAAGGGGTGCAGGGCTCAAGATGCAGACCACACAACTGCACCAAAATTCAAAACTACAGCCTCCCAGGCCAGCCTCCAGACCCACACAGCAGGCAGCAGCCCTGAACTTGCTGCTAGAGCCCAGCTGACCATGCAGTGACTCTCTCACCCAGGGAGCTGGAGAGCCAACTCCGCCTGGCTGGGGAAGCCTCCCAGCAAACTCCACAACTGGGAATCAACAGTGGAGACATAAACCCAGCTGAGGGATCCTGCCTTCAGGTCCCTAGAGGCTAGCTCTCAGGGGGAACCCTGCATGCAGGCCTGGGGCTTACTAGCTCCCACACACTCAGTCCTCCCCTTTTCCTGGCTGGCTCCAGACTCCCCTCAACAATGGTCTCTCCTTCCCCCTGGGAGGGGCATCTCACTCCCCATGGGTTGCCGGGCAGACTCTGGCCCTGGTAGGGAGGGGGAGCCAAGGCAAACTCAGAGCCTCTCCCTGAGCTGCCAGCAGACAAAGCCCCAGGAATCCAAGCAATCTCCTTGGGGGTTACAAATGGTTAGTCTGTTAAATTGGACCTTTTTTCTAATCTGAATATGTGTGGCTTTAAACTTCCAGCCACTCCCTTCCCCATCCTGGAAACACAGGGTTTAAAAGATTGGGGAAAATGCCATAAAATCTTGGAAAGCAATTAACTTTGAAACCATTACAAAATGCTCTTGTTTGTAAAACACCTACTTCTACCACTATGCTAAATAGGCTTTTCACAAACACCGCAAGCCAACATTAGGGCGTCAGCCACATTTAGCTATTCAAGAAACATTTGCAAACCCAAATTAAAGCCTCTTTGGTCATCTAATAAGAGTACAACATGACACCATGCAGAACACACAAATACGTCAGATCACATCTTGGCCCAGCATTCTCACCTGTCATGAGGACAGAGAACTGGACTAGACCTTGAGGTGCCTTCCACTCCTACAATGCTATATGAGTCTATGACATAAGAATGAGACTCAGAGAAAAAAAGTCTTAAGAGCATTAATGGAGCTAGCATGCTCCACTTCTGTGGGAATCAAGTACCTCACTGATTCAGCAGCACCCTCAAGTAACAATATGGAATGACACTGACAAGCTGTGGTAGGTGACATCACCTACAAGAGGGAGGGCAGCCATTAGAAAAGGCACTCTGGAAAGCCTCTCTCTTCTAATCCCAATATAATCAAGCAAAAAGGATCTATTGCCAATAGAGGAAGCAAACACTTTATGAAGTTTAAGGCTTCTAATTTAATTGTCATCCCATCAATACATACTAAACTTATGCTCCTGCATTAATTCTTTTCTGGACGGGAACAAAACATTGACATATAGTACTTACTTGGAGGTGGATCATGTTCTGTGGAAGGCTCTCGACAAAATCCTACAAGGGGAAAAATAAGTATCAGCACTGAATGTTTTTGTTTTGTCTTTTAAAATTGATACATCTTTCTTACTGCCACCATGAAAATGCTAAGCATTTCACCACAAAGTTCAACAGTTTAAAGGATTATTTATATACAACATTCAACTAAATGCAAGTAAGAATTGCAGAAGCATTGCATCTCCTAAAATTTACATACATGATGCTGCTGTCACTCCATTATATACATTTAGATCGGACTGATGAATCGCATCAAGTATCAGTGACACTTAAGAGTACTTATTACACCATATTTAGGTTACAAATCAGTTATTGGCCATTCTTCAAAGTGAAGTGCGTGCGCACGCACGCAAGATAAATGAGGGAACTGCAAGGTTTCCTCAGCTGATCGAAATGAGTATGCAAAAAAAAATTCTGTCGTAGTCCAGTGACAGCCATTAGGAACATGCTGTTGCAATACGTTCATATTGTATATCTGATACATAGCACAACTGCACATCTTGTAAGAATTGCCTTGTGCATTATTCAAATGCAGACCTGTTAAAGGCTGAACACATGTAGTCCCGCAAGAGTACACACGAGGGATTCTGCAACCATTCTTCCCCCCCCCCCCCCGAAAGATAAGAGATTATATGGATGTTACAGCACTGAAATATGCTATTGAACCAGACAGCGATCACACCATACATACAGTGCCATGTGAGGAATCTGAAACATTTCCACCTACTTAAGAGGCTTCTCCCCATGAAACTGCTTCTGTGACTAAATTGCCACATCCTGAGAGGCAGATGGGGAATTATTTACAAGTTCAAGTTACGATTTATCTCCACTCCCAGTCAATAAACATATTAATTGAGATCAAGAGAACATGTGCACATGCACTGTGAGGAACAGAACTCTACATGATTACAAATGAAAAGCTTACAATGAGATGGAGACTAAATTTGTCATCTCCTGTAACATCTAGGTAGACCTAGATCTTTCATAGTAGCCTTTACATGTTAATATTGTTTGTTTTTTCAAAAATTCTAGTACTTTACAGAGCTTTAGCCTAGCCAGTCAGAATGTGCTAAGAGCCATGCTCCCCTGAAAAATCCGAAACAATTTGGGATACAAATTCAATACTCTGCAGCCAAAATATTTCAATGGTGCTAAAGCATTTCCATCAGCAAAGCCATCTGACTAATTTATTGCACATCAGTGACACCATTTATCTGTTATAAGGACTCCCTGAGGCAAACCTTATATACACTATTCTATAGGTTTCCAATATCACTGGAACCCTTCCTACTTTATTGTTGGGCTTCCCAATACAAGTCTTTCAGGCTTCTATTGTTAAAGGAGAAGCTTACATTAAAGAGTTCAGCTATCCTGGGATGGGGATTGTGTGACACACAAGGAGAAGTGTCAAGGGAAATCCAATTGTGGTCACCACCTACCTCTGCCTACTTTCCACCATGTTTGCAAATGGTATTAGCTCCTGCCGTGTGCAATTCCAAAAGCACTTTGTCTTTGTGGCTCATTCCATCCACATCTGCCTTTTCCTATTATCTCATGTTTGTAGGATGCCATCTCCGTCATTAGCTTTTGTTTTAGGTAGGGTGACACTACAGCTAATAGTCTTTTGATGACAGAACACTTGGAATCATTCAAAACAGAAGTAAAAACATTTTAAAGTCATTTTTTCCCTTGTTATACCAGTTAATCCTTTTCCCCCCACACCAATTTAATCTAAATTTTCAAGAATATTTTAACCACCACTAAAAACCGGGGGAGGAATTTTGTAGTAAACGTAGCATATGCTGCTGCTCCAAATAAAGAAAAAACTCTTTAATTATAAGTCAATTCTATTCTGAACTGCGACTATGCTATTCAAGTGATACATTATTTTCCTCAGTGATTTATCAAATACAAACAGCAAGTTTAAAAAGATTCTTTTTCTAACTTATTTTTCAAGCTTGAGGTTTTTTTTTAAAAAAGCTCACAATTTTATAATATTGAAGTGATTGTTAGATCAAGTCTTGTAAAATACAGTGAGACGAATTATGGAAAGATGTAAGTGAATTACCTATAAGGAAGACAGGATAATGTTTCAATACCTATAGAAATGCTGACTTTTAAACATATTTTTTGAGAAACAAAGACTAAATATACAATTCTTGTGATGTATCAGTCAAGATATCATGTACAACAGATAAAAGGCAGTCCAAGAGGGTTATAACAATCTGTATACATGCTTAAGTCCCACAAGCGTGAAAGGGCATTACATACACCACTGAGAATAGACACACACACCCCTCATACACAGGTATAGTAGGACACGAGTACAATCCATTCCAAAAGACATCCACTTACTCTGGTAATCAGCTGAAACGCACAACTAAAGAAAAATCATAATATAAGCCGATATTTACATTTCTCCATCAACATATTGTCGCTTATTTCTTGTGCAAGATATGCACAGAACCCAGTGAACGCCAAAGGTTAAAGGGGCCTTATTAGTTCTGCATTGAGCATACTGTAATTCTCTTTACGCCTGCCTTGGGAGTTCCTGCACTTTTATATCCTGGCAAATTCAATTTAACCATCATTCACTGAGAGTTCAGCACCGCTGCTCTAGCCCTCTCCCCCAACTCCACCCTGACATCTGCAGCACTTCGACCCAGCACACGCCAAACAGCTACCATTCAACCATTACACACCAGCGGAAAAGAACATATGCTTATGGGAACTCTGAGAATAGTTCGGAATCAGAGGACACGATTGGACAAAGGCCCACATAAAAATGGATTGTCATTAAGCCTGGAAGTTATTTACCATTTGTGATGGGAGATGCATCCAGAGTAGCTAGTAAGTCTACCAATAACTTGAAATAAGAGGTATTACAGTACAGAGTTGTCCAAAAAAAAAAAAAAAAAAAAAAAAAAGGAAGATTCAGAAGAGGCAGGGAATATTTACTTGTATAATTCATGGTGGGCAATTGAGACTGGCATACTATTTGGGCACATAAGAGATATAAGTCAGTCTCATTTTCATTATTTAGGGAGGCAGTCAAAGCTTCCAGCCATTAAGTCTGTAACATGCTGGTTTGAAAAGCATCTGAATGCAGAATAAAACTATAGAAAAACTTGTTACAAGTCTAGAGAAGAGCCAACCAGTCTAAGTACATAGACTATTTCAAACTAATCCAGCAGAGCCCCCAATCAACAAAAGTGGTCAATCTCCAATTAGTATCAAGAATCAAAAAAGAGAAGAGATGTAAATTAATTGAAAAAAAAAATTCCTCCATCCTCACCCTAAAGAAACTGCTCAGAATTACATGTAAATTAATTGAAAAAAATTCCTCCATCCTCACCCTAAAGAAACTGCTCAGAATTAATCTAGCTAAAATAAAAATTACTTCCAGCATGCACTAAACAAGGAAATCTGTGCACCTCCAGGCCTCTGTGTGGAAGGAGTCTTGACCCCAGTTCAGCCCTTACTGAACCTAGAGAAATCCTATGGTGCGTCTTCACTGCAGAGGGAAGCCAGCCCCTGCCCACTTAGACATTAGCAGGTATCAAGCTAATGCACTAAACCCAGCAGTATGGTTGTTAAGACTCTGGTAGGGTCGGGTTTAGCCATCCAAGCTCAAGCCCAGAGGGTCTGTCAGTGGTCTTGAGAGCCCAAGTTGCAACCTGAGCCTCAACTACAGTGTTTGTAACATTAGCTGGAGTCCTGTTCGTGCAAGTGTCTACCCATATGTGAAGGTTTGCACCCACCTGCAATGCAAAACTATCGAGTGAGCCAAGCAACTGTAACTACCAAGCAGAAATGGAAGAACTCTCAAGTACCCAGCCCAATCAGTTGCAACAGGCTTCCCCTGAATCCTACTCCTGACACCTCGTGAGCTCCGCCGCTTACCCCGGTTTGGTGGGCATTACAGAGTCCCTGGCTGCCCTCCGAAGAGCAGAGCAGTTATGTTCTGCAGCCACCGCATGACCTACCTAAAATAGGAAGTTTGATAAAAGACGACAGATCCTGATGTTTCCTGACTCCAAGTAAAAGCCCCCTTTGACAGAGTGGGCAATGGTCAGCTCCAGGTGCCACACGATGACTCAGGGTAATACACAAGCTACTCTGTAGCATGGAGCAATTGCAGAGATTCTTACAGAACCTGACACAATTTCACCCGTAAGAGCCACTGCTCACTATTGCCTCAGACAGAAAATTGCTGTAAGTGAGGAGCCGACTGCTTTGGAAACTCATTAGCAGGGCAAGGACACAATAGGGTCAGTTTCTCTCCTCCTGCTGTTCTCATACCTTATCAATGGGCTCCCCTGTAAGTATTCCTGGGTTAACCCTCAGCCAGCCACCCCGAGCGAGTGATTACATACTTAGTTTTTAAATGCAGTGGCTGCTGGGCCTGAACATAGAACAGCAGCTGTTGATGAATTAACTGAAACCCCTGAAATTCGGTCAGGGTTTTTTTAAATAAAGATGTATACTTTAGCTGCATCCATTTTGAATGCGAAAGGCTCTGGATTAATTGGGTTATAAGAAATAAAAGTGTGCACACTAATCTTCTCCATTTCCTGGTTAGTCAGTCAGGTCTACCGCACTGTACCCATCTCCTTGTTTTGGGAGAAGGAAGCACATTGTATGGCAACAAAGGCATACCACATCTTTAACCTTTCACCCTAAAGGCTTTCAAGTCAGAAACAGAATAGTTTAATCACACAGATGAAATAATCCCAGGGGAGATTTTTTGTTGTTTGGTTTTAAAGATTATAAAAACCTGACAAGTAGCCTTACGGCAGCAACCAAACACGCTTCAAGTTATTTTCTGTTTTAAAAAAGATGATAATTTATGTTCAGTTTTATTTATCCTGGAAATGACAAGATATATAGTATGCTCATATCAGAAATAAATGTCATCAGCAGCAAATTTAAGCATCGTTTGCCTCTTCTGGTAGGTAAAAGCTAGTCTGTTGCCCAACATCCCAAATGCACATTAAAGAAAATTTCTCAGACCACATCACTCCTCACCTGAACAAGAGTGAGGATCTACAGGTAAAATATAGGGTCATCTATGAAATAATTTTGTATTTACTGAATATAGAAACTTTGACTAGTGCATCTCAGAGTGTATCGTAATAATGAATAAAGCTGCAACAGTAAGATGCATTAACCACATTTTTAAAAAAACTGAGGCATGGAGATTGATCAACGATCACAAACGCAGTTTGACAGAACTTGTAACTGAGCCCACAGCCACAGGACACCTCTTCCTGCCCTTTTGAAAGATATAGAGAAAGAACTAGACCCAAAACTCTGAAATGCAAAATCCTTTCCCTAGGTACACAGAACAAACCCTTACACAAATAACTAGCCTAGACAATTGATGGTCTTGAAAACTGGAAAAGAAACCTTACTCAAATGTCATAATTAACAGATACATAATGGAACAGATACATAATTTTAAGGAATCTTGGATATTGGGATCCCAGTGTCTACTGGGTGAGTATCAAAAACTTAAGATTCTACTTTTAAAAAAATTGGCGCATGTGGCAAGTATTTATAACTACTACTAAAACTGTAATTTCTAAAATAATAAATCCTTCCTTGAATTTTCTCTCTATATATATTGTAATACTTCCTAACGCAATCATCTTGAACTGCTGCTGCTTTGATTGTTTCTTTTACCCTTCCTGCACACATATGGTACAGAAACCCTGAGTAAGTCATCACTCAGTACTACCATTAAGGAATTTTTCTCTGTATGAAGCTGTACCATTCATTTGAAAACTGACTTACAGGTCAATTTTTCAGACTTTGAACCAGCCAGCAACTGAAGTAAAGGGATACAAACATGTTCATTAACTGCTACTTATATTTGAATATGTATTCTGGGTATAACACTTCTGGTTAGGAATGAACTGCTCTCCCCAATTACAGACAGTGGAAACACTCCCATTAAAGTCACAGTATTCGGATCACATCCTTAGACTTTTGTCATACCTGAAAGGCCAAAATTAGCTTCCTAACCCAAAAGTGGTGGATAAAGCCAAGAGCTTTGTCTGTTTCAAGCAGTGGTTCATCTTGAAATCCATTTGTTTACTTTGACATATAAAAAGCTATGAACAACAGTGAGTAATCTGTGGGGGTTTTTTCTCCACACTCAACACTGTAGGAGTATAGGAAGAAGGTCATTTCACAGTCCACATTTGTTCTGTTTTTGTTTTTTTTTCCTGAATCAACTCAAATGCTTCACAGTCTTTACCTTTACAGTTCAAGGATGGATTCACGCTCTCATGCAATTTCCTTTCCTAATTTGTTCCTTAGGACAAAGAGGAGTCAGATTAATCACTCTAAGAACAAAACAAAAAGAAAGACTTTCTTCCCTCCAAACCACTCACTCCTTCACTCTTCATCACTGTCACACTTCACAGATGGCCTGCATTCCGCTTGGGCAACAACATAGTTCCCAAGTTTGCTCTCTGAGCAGAGACCCAACTGCTCCACCTCTGAGGGACTGCTCCCACCATAAATTGTGTCCATACTTAGACCTCTTTCTTCACTTACCCCTCCCCAAAAACCCCCACAACTCACCTCACACACTTAATCCTGCTGCAATTTCTCACGTATTGGTCTCAGTAAGGAAAAACTTTGTGCCATGAAAGAGATGAGCAATGTAAAAGAATGAGCAGTACAGAAAACTAAGCATTAAGAGGCATGTCAAGGGACGAAACTCTGCTGCCGTGCCTCCTACTGGTGTCTCCCCGTCCAGGCACCAGACCTGCGTCGCTCCCAAACCACGGTGTCCTCTTCACCACAACAATGGTGTCTCATCCCTTTGTGGGGTTGTATCAGCAGTCCTTGGATTCTACTGCCACTGGTGGCCAGCTGTGGCCCCCAAGCCTAGCTCTTCTGTCTCAAGAGCCACGCCTTGCGGGCAAGGTGTAGTGTAAGGGAAGGGACCCAGGCCCACCCACTACTATGGGTCCCGCCCTAGGGACCCTCTAGCAGCAGCCTTGTTCTGCCCTCCTCTACTCCTCTTCACTGCATCTCATCTGCTGGGCCACTTCCCTGGTGATCCCTTGCACCATCTTAGCCCGCACAGCAAGGCCTGCAGCCCAGTAGGTATCCAACTAGAGCCTTCGTCTCTAGCTCCCCTGAGCCTGCCCAACACTGCTCTCTCTCTCCAAAGTGCTTCTCAGGGAACCAGTCATGTACCTTCCCGGGTCAGGACCCAACTGTTCATGCTCTGCTGGGTGGCTCCTTATATACCAGGCTGCCTCTGCAAGCTACCCTCTGGTTTGTCTCTTCAAAGCCTCTCCCTGATTGGCCAAGGTCCTATGCAGATCCCCCTGCCTGCTTTAACCCATTCCTGGCCAGTGAGAGGCAGTTGCCCCACCACAAGGCACAAGAATAAAGACAGTTCTATGAACAGCTTTTGAAGCATGCATGCCTTTATTTAAAATTACTCTTAGCTGTGAGACTACTTGAGTCAAATGTGATTCAAACAATGCATATGAATTTACCTATGCTATGTTCTACTTCCGTGATAGCTTAGTTTTTATTAACCTCACAAAGGAACACTCCTTCCCATTTGCCAGTCTATTCAAAAATCTATATCCAACCTAACTCTCCTCTTGACTAGAGTAAGTCAGCCATACCTAGCCCTCAAGTCCATCAATTCAAGCACTAGGCTCACGTTGCACAACTTGGTTCATTCGCTTGATTTACATATAATTTTATTCCTTGAATCTAAGGGCAGGAACCAGAATTGGAGTTACTCAAGACAGAGAACGAAGTAACGTATGTGGAGAAACAGCCTGACAAGTTCTATAGTGATAGAGATGTAGCCGTGTTAGTCTGGTGTAGCTGAAACAAAATACAGGACTATGTAGCACTTTAAAGACTAACAAGATGGTTTATTAGATGATCTAATAAACCATCTTGTTAGTCTTTAAAGTGCTACATAGTCCTGTATTTTGTGACAAGTTCTAGACTGTCCTCTGACCAGTCTCTTAGTAGGGACTAGGAAAGAATGTAATGTAGCAAAGGCCACCATCCTAGATTAAAGGGGAGGACAACTACAACCCTTTTGAAGAAAAGGGTGGCCCTTTAAGAAAAGATACTTCAGTATTTCCCATAAACAATCTACAGAAAAAGCTCCACTTCAAGTGAATTTTAATGTTCTGGGATAGAGCCCAAGCATGTGCTTATATTCCAAAAGATAAAAAATATTTTCCTTTAGAAAGCTATCCATACTGGATGGTAACATCTCATAAGTAACTACACAATCAACTTTAAATGAAACTATTTATGTTATTAAAAAGCTTGCCAGATTTATTCCTTGCTGTTCACTCAAACGCATTGTTGGATGTATTTTTCTTTTAACAGCCATCGACAGTAAATGCAATAGAAACTGAAATCTAAAACTAGGCTGGTGGAAAACATGGAAAACATCAGTGGAAATGTTCCTCTTTAAATAACCATCCACATTTTGTGTTGCATCAATATATATTTTTAACAGTACTGCATAGAATAGAATGCTAATTTAATCAGTTACTGTGACTAAAAAAAATGAATCAAGGGTAATAAAAAGAATTAAACTGACCTTATACTTGAGATAACATCCATTTGATAAATTGCTCCAGCAGGAAGACAATCTAACTTTCACAGCATAATCTAAACCACTATTTCTCAACCAGTGGTACAAGTACCCTTAGGGGTACTTGAGAGAAGTCTGGGCGGTGAGTCAACGCAACTGAAATTTGGAGAAAACATTTGTTTTAAGTTTTACAGGGCTTTATTATTTTACTTTTTACACCCAAAAATTTCATGGCCCGCCTAGTTATGATTAAACTGTTTAACAAATGTGTTGCAATCAGCAGCAGATATAGGGCAGGGCGAGCGGGGCGGCTGCCCCAGGCCCCGTGCTTCAATAGGCCCCACGCCCTGGGCCCTGCAAAGCTCTCATCCGCCCCTGCCTCCCTAAATAATAAACCTTGTTCTACCAAATACCTACTTTTCCCTTGCCCCGCTGGGGTAGTATTCTGAGCTACAATTCTCCCCGGTGCATGGAAGCATCAGGCCGTTGAGCCTCAAAAAACTCCTTTGCTGTCTCACTGAAGTTCAAAGCGGACTCTGTAAAA